TTACCCTAACGCTGCCCCTTTCTCTCTCTCCACAGCTGCCTGTCCTGTGTGAACGGCTCCTTCCCCTGCCACTGGTGCAAGTACCGCCACATCTGCACCCACAACGCTGCCGACTGCTCCTTCCTGGAGGGACGCGTCAAGCTCTCTGAGGTAAGGTGACGTAAGCCGGCTTCCCTCTCCTGTCCCAGTCCTGTCTCTCTATGGGGAAGGGTTTAGAAGAGGGAAAATTGCTTTGGAAACCTTTCCCACCACCTTGCCTGGGGTACTGGGGCTGCCTGGGAAGCAGTGAGGGAGGAGTGGGAAGTGCTGCTGGGACCATGTGCTGGAGAGGCTGCTTGGGAAGCCGGGCAAAGCCAGGAGCACTTCAGGCTGAATGAAGGGAAAAACAAAGGCAGAGACGCTGGAGCATTTTCCTTTGATGTTTTTGAAGGGAGCAAGCTTGAACTGTCATTGCAGAACAACTTGTTTTCAGAGAGGGGAAGGTTGGAATCCATAAAACAAACCGTTTTGCTACACCTCACGCCTTCTTCGTCTCAAATGCTTTGCTAAGAAACATGTTCTTTTGTGGGAGTTGATCCTGTGCAGCATCCGTGCCATTTGCCAGGGAAACCTGTCACTGGCAGGGTGCTTGCAGGAGGTCCCCGTGTCCCCAGCCTGTGGTGGCATTGCTGGCTGCTTGGGTTGGGTCTGGAGGTCGGGCAAGCAGCTGCTGGCTCTGCAGTAAATGCTGGTTCAGGTCCTGAAGGGATGGTTTTGGGAAGGAGAGTTTATCCGCTGTCCCTGTCCTGTTCCCAGTTGCCTGTACAGGGGCCCAGCGAGAAGGGTCCTGCTGCCTGGCGGTTGCTGCTGGGAGCAATGCCATGTGCATAGGGAATGGGACAAATAGATATTGTCCTCCAGAAAGTGTTTGCCCAGGTTGTCTCAGATAAAATCTGGTCTCTGAGTTCCAGCAGAGCTTGTGTCCCAGCAACCTCCCAGGCTGCAACTGGTCCCCAGGAGCAGAGGTGAACAAGAAAGGCTTGTTTCTGCTTCACAGACCATGGGTGAAGGCAAGCAACTGAGATCCCCCAAGGTCTTTGCCATCCTGACTGTCACCGAGAGGAGGCCTGCCTCTGCATCTCCCCACTCGGGAGGAGCAGCATCTCTGAGTGAATCTCCAGCCCCTATAATTTGTGTCTTCTGAAGTCTGCCCTCATCCTTGGTGAGGACCTGTGGGCTTCTAGGTGTGCTTATAGATCAGGGCTGTTGTCCTCCCTGTGTCCCCATGCTTCTGTGCTGGGCTGGGAGCACGTGTGGTCAGATGAATCCCTCTGCAGCTGAGATAGCCCAATTAATTTTTTCCCCTTCCTCCCCCTCTGCCTGACTCATCACTCAAAGAGCTCTCACAAGAGAGAATGGGAGAGCTGGGCCAATGCTCAACCAGCAGCACCATCACTTTTGTGCCAGGGATGGGAGGGATGGAGGAACATCTTCCCATATACTGGGGCTGAGCCCTGCATGGCTTCCCCGCTCCCTTGGGATGGATTGACCTTGGCACCCAGCATCCAGCCGAGGTTGACCCACAACATTGGTGTGGAAAGCTGGAGTGCCTGGTCCTGCTGCCTCTCCCAGGGGAGCTGCTGTGTCTATGGAGGAATGTTTGGGCTTTGTGTCCTGCAAAGAGAGCTATTTGAATGCTCTTCAGATGGACTTGCAGAAGATGTTGGTGTCCTTGCACAGGGCCATGCTGGACTCTCATCACAATCCTTACTCTGAGCATGGAGCTGTGTGAAGCTGCCTCCCAGACAAGTGCATGAGGAGAGCTGGAAAAGCCCAGCCATTGTTCCAGCTCATGGGCAGATGCTTGCCATTTCTCAACAGCAGCAGGCAAGTGCCAGGAACGAACCACCTGGGCTGTTCTGTAGTCCTGTTGCCAGCACCTCAGATGGTGCAGCGATGGCTTTGCACCATGCCTTCCACCAAACAGCCAAACTCTGGGCTCTGATGCTGTCCCTCACCTCCCTGGAGGTCTCATCCAAGTGCAAGGGGGTTGCACCATGCTTTTGAGTGCTCACGGGTGTCTGGCATGGGTCAGAACAAGCCCAGCCTGCTGGCCCCACACGAGAGGGGATTTGGTAATGTGAGAAGATCAGAAAAAGCTGTTTTCTCCTAGTTTGTGCCCTGAAGATCAGCATGTCCCAGGCATCCCAGAAGCCTGCTCTTGAGGTTTTACTTCCAGCCAGCCCTAGTGTGGCTTCTGCAAACACAACCCTTGGTGTCCAGACCACTGGAGCCTGGTGGCTCTTGTCTGCCTGTTCCCCTTGCTGAGGTCTCGGGGAGGCTGCTGGGCTTTTCCCCCTTCCCTGCCAGGCAAACCCAAAAGCATTTGGCTGTACCCACCAGGGATGGTGTCTCTGGGACACGTGCAGCTCTCGCACGGACCAGCTGCTTGGGAACTTGTGTCATTCCCGAGCATGGGCAGGCTGTCCCCCAGCAGACCCTTTGGCTGCACTGGGACCTGGATCAGTGCCTGGCTTGAGGTTTGGAGCGCCTGGCCCAGCCTGTTTGCACGTTGGTGTGGCCTCAGCAGTTCCCAGCAGGGATGGCGAGACACCCTCAGACCGGCTGCTGCTGCTGTGGGCTGCGTGTCCAGGCTGGAATGAGACATCCTGTCCCCGTCCCCAGCCATCCTGGTCCCCAGCAGGGTGGTGTGGTGGGTGGGGGGGCTCGTTGCCAGCCCATGGCACCACTGGATGAGTTAATGGTTCAGCCCCGTCCCCTCTGTGGGAGGATGCGTAACTGGGAGGGTCATTTTAAGGAGGATTTGGTCTGTCTGTGTTGGTTGGAGTGTGGTGGGCAGTGGTCAGGAGAGGGAGGGGCAGGGGCTGGTTCCCATGGGTGGTTCACCACAGTTTCCTGGGTGGGAAAGTGGCTGTTTTGTAGGAAAACACAAAGAATGACCCATATCATTCTGTCCTGGGCATGCTGGGCATGTTTGCCTGGATTTCTGGGGGTGGCGGGGCAGGAACGGGGCGTGGGTAGGGGACACCACTCACGTAAATGTGCCTGGGAAGGGCGGCAGCAGGAAGGATGTCCCTGCCCGCCGGCTGCAGTGGCTTTGAAGCCTGGACTCCGGAGATGGCTATCCTCTGTGCCTTACTCTGAGGTGCAGGGCTGGGGAAGGGGTGATGAAGCTGCGCAGGCTACTGTTTGCTTTTCCCCACTCATGATGCCTGATGGTGGCCACGGCGTGGTCAGTGATGGATGCTGGAGTCTCCCATCCCAAAATGCACAACAGATTGTTGTCTTCTGCAGCAATCCCTGCTGATGCAGAGTGGCTGCGCAGGGTGAAAGGCTCCTGGTCTGTGGGGACTGAGTGTGTGGGTTCAGTGAGCAGATTCAGCTTGTGTTTGTTCTTCATTCCCCCACCAGTAGGAATGGCTGAAGACTTTGTGAGGGAACCTCAAAGCCAGGGCCAAGCCCAGCCCCAAACTGCCTTCATCTTCATCTCTGCTGATGGCACAGCCTTGCAGCTGGGGCTGGGAGCTGCCAGAGAAACCCAAACTGCAGCATTGGCAGTGTGACTCTAAAGCTCTTACCTCTCCAGGCAAACCTGGACACCCTTTTCTTGTTCTCATCCAGCTACAAAACTAGTTTTAACTGAGAAAATCCCAGTTGTGTGATGTTTGGGAATGTGTGTGTCGGGGTC